CCACCCACCCATCCAGTGGACTGAGTCATATTTATCGTAAAAAAGAAAAGAGGTGGACAGAAAAGTGTCATTGAAATATTTAGCAGACAGCTGCCTTACTGACCACAGAGTCAGCATGTTACAAACATGTAGCCAACAGATTTTGAGTTGTTAATAAATCTACAGTGTGTGCTGATCACATCCATGATCCAAGGCTGGTTGATTCTGAAAGCACCCGTGTTAAATGCACCACTAAACTAAACCTGGGGTTTCATGTGCATGTTAATGCATTCTGCTACACACTTTGATATTAACCCTATCAATGAGGAAATGAAACAGTGTGTCGGGGGGAGTCAGAGTTTAAGTTAACCCTCTTTCTGGAACAAATAACCTGGATTTCGCTCATCTCGTGTTTAACAAACTTGGGAGTTTATACCTGCTTTCTGTAACGAGCCCGAGTCCTTAGTTTGAGTTTGTGGGGACCCTGATTAGAGGTAACATGTGGCTTTGGTCGGCGTGCCGGGTTGGTTCAGCTCAGAAGCGGTAGGCCAGCTGTTCAGTGACTCTGAACGGTTTGCTTTCACTGGCGGTGCACATCAAGTCCCTCATGCGCCGCGCACGCCGCTCCTCTAACACCAGCCTGCGGGAGTGCTCTCGGGCCGCCTGCTGCTCCGCTCGCTTCTCCGTCCGCTTTCGCTTCAGCCACCTGAGGGAGGAAAAAGGTATCTGTCAGTCAGCTGATACTTCCAGCACTCTTTCAGAATATTTGCCCTTTGTAGCCAGATGAGGGCTGCATCATTAGCCTGCTTTTTATTATTAATATTGTCTAAATGTAACTTTACTCCTGACAGGATATAAATCAATGAACCAAAATTCAACCTGTAAATCTTTAACTTCACCTTAGAGCAGAAACAAGCGGTGACAGACGTGATTGTCTCTACTCTTACGTGTGCCAGGAAGTCATCATATGAAACTTTCTGCAGGTTACGAAGTTTAAAAGCAGACGTACAGTTTGAAAGCCTCGTCGCACTCCTCACGGCTGTGTAACAGGTACCCACTGTCCTCCTCCAGCCTCTTGAACTCCACCAGCTGCCTCTCCTTGTGCTGCTGCTCCTGCTTCCTCTGAAGCCATGACCTGAAGGCCTCCTCCGGGTCCGGGTTGGAGTCTCTCTAACGGGGGACGCAGAAGCAGCGTATTACCATCCTCAGTCGTGTCACTTTTACCGGACACTTTCTTTGTATTGCATCAAAGTTTAAGACACGGAAAGTGTTGGGGGGAAAAGTGGTCCTCGTGTAGCGACTGTGTTATGAGCTTACTGTGCCCCCGTGTGGCCATACTTGACAATTCATTCTCTCGATTTCCTGGGCTCTGTGGATCCTTCTCTCCTCCTGAAGCTGCTCTTTCTTCCTCATCAGCCAGGCTTTGAAGGCCAGCTCGTTCTCCTGCCTCTTCAGCTCTTCTTCCTCACGCCTCCTCTGTTCTGCCTGAGAAACATAATAACTGTGAAGAAATGTAGCAACCATAGCCAGACCTTTTTTTGAAATGACCTAATTCGCTGCATTTCCTACCTCTCTGGCCAGCCTCTGCTTCCTCTCCTGGATCTTCTGCAGCTGCTCTTTCTGCTGTGGGGTCAGGGTGTACGTGGCCTGGCTGGGTGTCTCCGTGGCAGACTGCACCCGCCTCTTGCTGCTTTTCCTCTGACTGCCTCTCTGACTCTGGCTGGCTGAGCTAGGCCTGCTCTTTGGTTGTGCTGGAGGTCTGGGGACCCGAAGGTGATCTATTGCCTGTGGAAACAAGGAGGAGGCAGCCCGAAGGCGAGGAGAAGTGGAGGAACTGTGGATCTTAACAGAGTTTACATTTTGCTCCTGAACACGAGGCGAGGAGCGTGAACTGTCACTGAAGATGTTAGCTAAAGGAGGGAAAAGGGCTTGACTCTCCACCTCTTTTAGGCTGACCAGGTCAAACTTCCCGTCCTTCTCCACAAGGACTCTGCCCTCCTTCATCCCCTGGCCTCCCTCGCTGCTCTCCCCAGCCCTGCCAGAACCTCCTTCAGAACTCCTGCTTTCATTGCGAGGTGAAATCTTTAGCTCGGACAGCTTTCCCGACACTTCAGTATCTGCCGGTGCATCCTCAGCTCTTTCCTTGCTCCCATTTTTCCCCTCTACTTCATCGCTGCTGCCATCTCTCTCAAACTGCAGCGGAGGCACCACCAGGTCCACCAATGTCTCTTTAAAATGCAACCGCCTCCGTCGTGTCATATCTGGCACTTCCTGATCCTGCAGCTCCCGGTTAGCCTGCTGGATCTTCTCGAGGATGTACTTCTTCTCCTCGTCTGTTTGGTCATCCATCCCTGGAGGAGGTGGGGCTGTAGGTGATGACTTACTGGGACTGTCCCTGTCTGAGTCATACTCCAATGGTTCCATAGGAGATGGCCACCTCTCTTCATCTTCTTCCAGTTGCTCTGTTTTGTTGTCTCGCTTTGTTTCCTTGTAGTTATTCTCCTTTCCTTTCATTCCCTGTCGTTTCTCACCCTCCTCCAGTTCTTTGTCAATGTCTGCCTCTATGTCCTCATAGTCAGAGCCCTGTGGGGGATAAGACAGACGTACTTTGCATGCATTAATTAAGTCTGCATGTAAATGAAGGTGCAACATCAATACTGAGCAACAGATAACAGGTATGTTTTATTTTGCTCATCAATATTGCATCCAGCAGTGGAACAGTGAAAGTATGCCGCTGCATTTCAGCAGCATAGGTTTCACATCCAAACTCAGTGTGCCAGGTCTGGTAACTCAACACTGCTCGCTGTCACACTTTCACAGAGCAGGCTCAGGTATACACACCTCATTCAGCCTGCAGCAAGTAGAGCAGCATTCAGATATATACTGCATGCTAAAAAGGAAAGAAAGATTAGAAAGACGAGATGCAGGAGATGTAATGTCAGACCTACCTGGTCCCTGCTCCGGCCTTCCTCACTGATCAGCCAGTCCAGATCTTTCTCAAAGTCGTCCTCGTACTCCTCCTGAGTCTTTGTGCAAACTGTTTCGCTCATCATCTACCACCGAACTGAAAGAGGGGACGGAAGGATGTGACGTAATGCTTATAAAAGTTTTTCTCCCTGCACACACTCACACTGTAGCACCCAAAGAAAGTGAAGTCAAGCCTGAGACAGCACAGTGACGATGCGATCATCGCTGTAGACCGTGGAGATCACCTGTGCAGCCCAACAATACCTCAGGTTTAAAATCACTGATGATTATTTTCTGCTCACTGTTTTCTGTGAGAGGGTGACTTGGCTTCAAGAGAAAAGTAGCTGTTTTATATTATTCATTGAAGTCTAATAAGTACAGATCACAGTGCAGAAAACACCCTGCAGGATACATCTGGGATTACACGGTGAGCATCTTTCCTGTAGCGTAAAACGTGCATTGTTCTCAAACTTGAGGCTTAAATTTCCCTTGATTTAAATCTTAGTATCTGACCTGCTGTTTATGATGCTGCATTTGTGTGGATTGTGTTGTTATATTGTTTTTATCTGCTGGTTGTGTTCTCAGGTTTCTCTTGTAGTGTTTAATCACAGAGAGGCTGCCACCAACAGGTTGGATGATTTCTTGACTGGTGCTTAATACATGAGACAAAAAGTGCATAATCATAGTCTTCCTCATTAAATACATTATTTGTGGTGATCACACAGAAACCTGAATAAATCCAGTGTCCCTCTATAATATGTGCTGTTTATTTTATGCCGAAATATAACAGTAAAGGTCAGAAAACAAAGGAGGTACATATCAGCACAGATAACCTTATTTACCCAAGTGCAGGAACATGACATCCAGCCAATGATGGCTCTTCAGTGGTAGTCATGGTGCTGATGTCCAACGACCTGGGCACCACTAACAGCTCGTTAACATTAAGTATAAAGAATAATGCAAAGATCAGCACATAGAGGCAGACCGGGGTTATTCACAGCGGGCCTGTGCTTTAAGAAAACTAACAACAGACAATCCAAAAGAAATATGTTTCTGTGTTGCAGCGTTTGTGAGCACCTGTATTTGCCATGTTATGGTAAAAACTCCATCACAGCCACTTTTAAGTGGGTTCATTTATATGTTAGGTATAAATCTGTAGCAGGGCTTTGTGCCCATCTCATGTATTAGATCAAAGTTGAATAGCTGTCAAAATCTACAATTCTTTTTGGCTTTAATACCTATATAATATCCCTCACTTGCTAACATCTATAGATTTATACGCGCTTTTGATTCAGTGCATGTGTGTTTGGGTCACAGCCGCTTCCACCAGGCAGCTTAAAACACAGAAACAGAGTCGAGTCGTCTTTAGCTTTTACTTTATTTGTTTCAATCGCTTTATAGCGTATAGAGGGCAGGCTGAGAGCAGACTGGACCCAGTCGGATTACATCGATCGGTTTTAAAGCAGCAGTGTAAAATGTGACAACAGTGATGTTAAACTCACCAGCAGCAGCTCTTCCTGTTTCAGTAAAACAACAAATCGACCGTCTAACTGGCCTGCGTAGTCCCCGCCGGCCTGTGGAGCAACACCTGTGCACATAATCTGCTTCAAGCCTCTCCACGGCCCCTAAAAGGTTTAATAGACACGTCGTCATAGAGACCAGCAACACGCTTTACACATGCGCATGCGCACGCCACCCGCTAAACGCATTCACAAAAAAGAAAATCTCCATGAACACAGCGTAAACATGAGGGAAAAGCCAGGAGGTATTAAAAGACCGTAAATATTTAATAAAGTAAAGTTATTAAATGAGTTATCTGTTCCTCCAGGCTGAGGTCGATTAAATTTAAAGCACTAATCTAGATAAACTGGGTCCTTTTGTGCGAGTCTTTCCATTATTGCACATTTTTATGACTAAACGAAACTAAAGCGCACATTTGAGCCAGGATAGGCTGCACTTAGAAGATTGCCTCTTTATCTACGGTGAGAATAAAATACAAACCAATTCCAAAAATGTCAGGACGACGTGTAAAATGTAAACAAAACCAGAATACGAAGAGTTTAAACACTGATATGTTTTCTGTGTTATGTTCTGAATAAAACTTGGGTTTGTGAGATTCGCGAGTCTTTGCATTACGTTTTTATTCGCATTTTATACGTCGTGACATTTTTTTTATTTGATTTTGGGTTTTATTAAAGAATTTAAAAAAAGGCAGGCAAGTAAAACAAAATCAGGCAACAGATGAAAGATTAAAAAATGTCAAGAGGGCAGAGAAAAGAGAAAATTTACAAGGAAGTCATTTATCTCCAACCACCTCTCTGATAAGAAGTATGTACAACACATCAGTGTAAATGGTTAGCACAGGTTAAAGTAACTCTAGACTTTCACCCCAAAGTAGTTTAAAAAACTTGGAAGTTATACTTTTGCATGCTCTCATTTGTTTATAACAAGCCTTGTGATTAAAGGGTGAACCTTTGCAAAGATGTTTCTCAAAAATGAAACAACTGAAAGGAGCCTTCAGCAGGAAGTGTTGTGGCAGCAATGCTGCAGATGCTGGTGAATGATTCAGGACTTTATAAAAACGAACGCATTATATGGTGTGTTTACTTTTCAAAAGTAAATTTCGTATTTCTTTATGTATGAGTCAATAAAAAAACACTCGTGGATGATTAGAATCAGCAACAGTGCACACTACGTGGGTACAAGTTTCTGCCTCTTTTCAGCAAGAGAGCTCGATTTTATCAAGCTAGCAACTGGATATATATACTTAATAATAATGTCACAGTATTAAGCATTAGTAAGGTATTAGTAAGTGTTTAATTCATCATTTATACATCATTACCCAGTATGTCATTTATAAATACAGATATGTTTATCTCTCTGTTACTGTTACACCCTGTATGACTATATTTTAATCATAATCATCGTCATCACCGTATTCCCACTTTGAATATGTATTTTATTTTATTTATTACCTTCCTTTATCTTCCCCATGCCTCTGCCTTGTCTCCACCCTTCCCCTAACATTTTTCCATCTACCCCAGCCTTCATCCATCCCATCTCTTTACCTCTTATCTGTCCACCTCCTCATAACCCCTGTTTTTTCTTTATCGCCCCCACCCTCTTTATTACCTTTCTACCTTTCCTGTGTCACTGTCAGACCCTTTCTTTTCCCGTTTACTCCCAACTGCCTCTTCTTTAAGTGCGGAGAAACACTGAAGCTCCACAGAACTGACCACCTCCAACAGTGCAGCTCAGTGTGTCAAAACCCTGAACACAAACTTTACACTAATCCGAAACTCTTTCGTTGTTACAGATAATGATAAAAAGGTATAAGAAGGGAAGCCATAGAGCCTGGGGATTTTACATCCAGAAATGTTGTATAAAACCAGACACGTTATAATTAAAAAATACTGAAGAAGAAGATATGATAGGGAGTCTGTACGCACAATGCCAGGACGATCAAACCAGTTTAGATGGATGAAAAAAATTTAATCATTACTTGTTATACTTTTTTCTTTTTCTTGATAAGAAAAGCGGGGATCCAGAGCAGAGATTTGTAATAGTTTTAAATCAGTTTGATCTTATGTTTGTAGGAGCAGTGAAACTTCTGTCAGTGTGAAAATGTTTAACAACACATTTATTCCTGCATTTATCCTAATATAAGAAAAAGAAGTGCTATTTGAACAATATGTCTTTTTTGCACATGATAAACAAATGCTGCTGTCAGCATGGCTCTCTGGGCTTAAATTGTAAGAAATTACTCAATTACAGAAAGTTCTGGTAGCTCATTGGCCAGGTGGTGCTGTAATTATTAAACACAAAGTTTTTGCTAATTTTCAGAAGCATCCACTTTTAAAATAAAGAAATAATTATAAATATATATAAATATTTCTATAGTAGATGGTCCAAAAATGTTTTTTCCCCATCTTTTTCTTAATTACTTTGGTGTAGTTTGAATGGCCATGGTGGTGTTTGTCAGTAGAAAAAGCTGTTAAACTTATGAAAGTACAGTTAGAAGTCCAAACTGCCTCCCATCACATTTTCCAAAGACATCCAGTGGGCCATACTGGAGTTTGTGGTGGGCCTATTCTGGCCCTTGGGCCCTATGTTTGACACCCCAAGCTAGCGTGACTTTTCGTGTAACGTTTGAATTACACGTCACATTCCAGCTCACATTTGGTGCTTTTCTCAGATTTCTCACATTGACAGATGGCTGTACAGTGACAGGGAATCAGCTTGTTTTATATTTCGACTCACTGATAAAGAGTAATGCCTGATTTGCACTTCTGCTGCAATTCTAAGTCATAACTTGTGAAGTAAGCACAAACTCCTTTTAACGCTCCCCGATAAACTTCCATGTAACCGGATGTGCACCTCCCAGGATATGTAACATGTAGCCCGCAATGACCTGAAAGCTGTGGGAGGTTGCAGCGTTAGGGTTAAATGGGGTTTCCGGTTACGTCGTCGAAGTTAAGACGAAGATTTCCCGCAGAAGTCTAAAAAATCAATCAATGTTATGAACAATCGTATGAGAAACAGAGGTCCTTAAATGCGTCCCCAAACAGAGAAGTCTTTGAATGCAACGTTTGTGTGGCGCACTGAACTCTGGGTCTTGGAGTTTTGTGTAGGCATGCATCATTCTGAGCCCCGCACCGCGATAATGGAGAACGACATTTCCCATGTTGCGGTTATCTCCTTTGACAAACCACGCCCCTTCATCTAAAACATGCCTGATATCACGTAGGTGAAACTTCTGACACAGTTTTAAGTTGGTGGTGAGAACACAGTGACAGGCCGGACAGAGAATCGTGTCTTGTCCACAGATGGCCACCATCGTTTTTTACTCGGTGAACAAAACGGCTCACAGCGCCGCGAGACGATGTTTAACTTCTCCGTTAAAGGGGCTCGCTAGTGCCGGAGAGTCCGTTTCGCGGCTAGCCTCCACTCACAGTCGGTCAGTGCCTTTACTTCCGGGAACGAGATGGTTTTCGAGGGGTACCGGCGTGAGGTTCATGTCCCATGGGACCGCAGGCAGGTCCGGGAATACCAGGAGGGGAGCCCTGGCGCTCAGCGGAGCCGCAGCAGTTACAGCGGCGGCGGCCGTAGCGGGGTTTCTAGCTAACACTGACCACTTCCAGCGCGCAGAGATGGCAACGAGAGTCCCCCGAGCCGCAAAGGAGACGGGGGAAGAAGCGGACATTCTTCAGAGATGCCGGGGCTTTATGTCTCCGCCGGTGACTGACATTAGTGTGCTGCAGGGGAACAAGGACGAGATGCGTACGAAGATGGAGATGCTGATCATGGAGACTCAGGCCGACTTCTGCAAAGCCCTGGAGAAAGTGGACGGTGGGACGTTCAGGGTTGACCGGTGGAAGAGGAAGGAAGGTGAGGCGCTTCTGCCTGACATAAAATATCCACGTACAGCGTAACAGAGTGTAACATGATTATATTTGCTTAAAGAAGAACCAAAAGTAAACTGACTGTGTCTGTGTCAGGTGGTGGAGGCATCAGCTGTGTGATGCAGGACGGAAAGGTGTTTGAGAAGGCGGGTGTTAATGTGTCGGTGGTGTTTGGGAACCTGACAGAGGAGGCGGCGAAGCAGATGAGGAGCAGAGGAAAGGTCCTCAAAGGGAAAGATGGTGAGTTTTGACTATTGCGATTTGTGTTATTGAACACAGCGGTTTAAACTTTAATATTGGTATCTTTATTTTTCCCAGGTAAACTGCCATTTGTTGCCATGGGAGTGAGCTCCGTTATTCACCCCAAAAACCCCCATATTCCCACTGTGCACTTCAACTACAGATACTTTGAGATTGAGGAGGAAGATGGTAAGCATTAGGCCTTCATCACGTCAGCAGTTGGCTCTCAGTGTCAGTGACACAGCTGAGTGTGGAGTGAATGATAACCCTTGTTTCCTTCTTCCTTGTTCCAGGCACTAAGCAGTGGTGGTTCGGTGGAGGCACAGACCTGACCCCGGTGTATATAGATAAGGAAGATGCCTTTCATTTCCACAAAACCCTGAAGGAGGCCTGTGACAAGCACCACCCACAGTACTACCCGGACTTTAAGAAATGGTACGGTTTGGTTAGCCCCACGCTCGTCCCCTCCACTTGCATGTGCGTCCTTCAGCACGTACGCTGTGTGTGGATTTGCACTGGGTGTATCCCCACTGTGGAGTGATGATAAGAGGAAGTCTTTGCCTAAAATCTGCAGTTGCAGAAAAACCGTTGAAGCAAGACGTTAGTCAGGGATTGACTTCAGTGGGAAATGATGGGTGTGGTTTATCTGATGTTTGCTGTATGAGGTAAAGTTTTACATTTAAGGAATAATGTGATGTTTTCATAAATATGCCTTTCCTCTTACAGAGACGATTGGCACCCCTCTCATCCACTAAATGTAGCACAGTTTACTGTCTCTACAGACATGCTTTCAGTCGACTTGCTGTTAATTTATTTAGAGCCCATTTGGAGCTTTGATACCTATACTGACGTTTGATGATTTAAAAGTCTGATATATTGGTCGATGTTTTTCTTTTTCTCTCAGGAAAAATGGAACATAAACACAATTCATATTTATTTTTAATCCTCACTAAGATATTGCTGCTGTTTTGTTGAATCTGCTGAGTTGGTGTGTGTGGTGATCCAAGCAACAGAGAAGTTGCAGAGCTCCCTCTGGTGGACAAACTGTGGAACATCACTGCTCATAACGTGGTTGAGAGGACATTTTCTCGTTTTATTTTACTTTCTAAATTTTCATTACTCGGTCATTATAAATACTGATATCAACATACAGGCAAATCTGTCTTTCAGACTTCATTTGTCGTATGTCATGCCATATATGGATATTTATTTGGCCCTGCTTCTGTCTCAGTATATGTTACTGCATGTTGCCCAGGTGTGACAGGTACTTCTACGTTCGCCACAGAGGAGAGACCCGCGGTATAGGAGGAATCTTCTTTGACGACCTGGACTCCCCGAATCAGGAGGAAGTGTTCAGCTTCGTCAAGAGCTGCGCCCGCACGGTGGTGCCCTGCTATCTGCCCATCGTGTACAAACATCTCAATGACTCTTTTTCTGATGAGGAGAAGGACTGGCAGCAGGTTCGACGAGGCCGGTGAGTAGCACCAAACGGTAAATAAGAGAGAACCCATCTGAATATTTGAGCTCAAATAAACACAAAATTATAAAGGGTTCACAGACCAGCTGATCCAAGTCAGTCCGTCCTGTTTTTCAGGCCACACACTTGCAGTGACTGCCAGTCTCAGGTTTAGTCTTCCTTCACTTGTGTGATTGAGCTGCTTAATGACTGCAGTGTGGTCTGAAGCTGGAGTGGATCCTGGCAGGGAGTCGCTAACAACACAGAGACTGACTTAAAGGGCGAGTTTGAGAGGGAAGTACATAGCAAGCTGGAAACCAGTAGAGTGATTAGATTGTTCAGATTAGCTCAGTGTGGTATGTGTTGGCACATACAGAAAGCACCTCACAAAACTTGTGACATGACGTAATTCAGCTCATAACTTTCGCACGTCGGGGCAGTATGCGGCTGTGGCGTGCGAGGCCTGTCGGCAGTCTGGTTCAGCATTTGCTGCCTCGCTACCAACCCGGCATTTCATCTCCGAGGAAGTTATCCCAGAGAAGTAAAGCAAAGTTAATCTCTAAATGTTTGTAAAGCATCCCCACGTTAAGCTTAACAACCGAATGATGGAGCGACTGCCTCTCTCTCTCTCTCTCCTGCTGCTACTTCAATCATGAAACTGATCAATGATCAGCTGATCGGCTTTTCTGTCGCGAGTCTCTCTTCTTTGTTTTTGGCCCACTTTGCAGCAGAAAGAGGAAACCAGCGGCTGAACAACAGCAGCACGTTTAATAAAACAGTCGTACTGATTAAAACACTATCGGATTCATGTCGGTATCGGCAGATATCCAAATTTATGATATCGGTATCGGACATTAAAAAGTGGTATCGTGCCATCTCTACCACAAACCTGTCACAGTAACAAAGAAAACAAAATGAATAAATACGCATTACAATATTATTCCTGTGAAAGTAAACCCAGAGAATGGGCTGCCTTGGTTTGTTCTTATGTGTTTTCATACAGCACCTGATCACCTTAAGCAATGAACAGTAAGTTTTAGCCTACAGTGAGGATGTGTTGCTCTGCAGGTATGTGGAGTTTAACCTGGTGTACGACAGGGGAGTGAAGTTTGGCCTGGCCACGCCCGGCTCAAGAATCGAGAGCATCCTCATGTCCCTCCCACTCACCGCAAGGTAAGCTGCTGCCTCTTCAAAGCACTGTTTGCACCTTGCTTGTGTCGACAGCAGGCTGCCCGCGTCGCGTGGTAACAGAATCACTCTTCATCCTCAGGTGGGAGTACATGCACGAGCCTGCCAAAGGCACCCGGGAGGCTGAGATGCTGGATGCGTTACGAAACCCCAAAGACTGGGTGTGACCGGAGCGCCCCCGGGTTTGGACGTCAGTATGGACAAAAACATCTATTTTATAAAGCTGGCTGATCGACCAGCTGGGCAACATTTAACCCTGCTTTTATAATATGGAGCTGCGCTGTAGATGTCTGAAGAGCTTTTTCATTTGTCAAACGAGCCGTGGTAAAACGGGCCCTGAATAATGTCAAACTCAGTTCATGAGCTTGGTGCCATTGCTTGCTGCAAGACCAAATAATGTGACTTAATGGGCGACCTCCTTTTCAGGTCAGCTGCACTTCTGTTGTGCTCCTTTAAACGTGTGTGTTTTGTTCTTTGACCAGCTAAATGTGGCTCGCTCTGCTCAAAGCTGTTAAAGCCGTCCTCTGCTCGCTTTCAACAAACACCTGAAAAGGACAAACTGAGCCACTGTGTCAGCTCTGCCATCTAATGTTAATAGAAGCTGGTTTCAATGTCCACAATGATGACTGTGTCTGCCACAAAATGAATAAATGGATATTCACCACTCTCTGCTGAGGCCCATTCACTTTGTGCTGGTCTTTGATTTGTGGTTAATGAATCACTTTATGGTTTGTTTGAACAGCAGTAAACAATCTCTGACCCACAGAGGACGAATGTGAGTCACAGGCCAGGTGGAAACAAGAATCTGTCTTTTTCTAGTTTCTTCTGTTCCTTTAAAATAAAGTGAAGCTCACACTGGATACATCTGTCTCCTAGGTAAGAATCTCACTTTGTGAGCGCCTGGAAAACCACCAGGCGATGAATAATTTGTCCCTTTGTGAGTGATGATGGTAACAATGCGGGGGGCAACAAGTGCTCACCCAAACAAACTGAACATGTTCTCGAGACGCTGAAAGATTCATGCAGCGAGTTTTAAATATTTTATTACAAATTAATTCAAGCTTTTGCACAAGTGAAAGATTTATAACAAGCTCCTTACTTTTAGTGTTATGTAACGTGTTTTTCCTCGATAAGGCTTTGTAAAAACAGGGTTCGGTTAAGTAACAGTACAACAAGTGGCCGAACCAAAATTGCTACCTCTACCAGCACGAGTCAGCTCAGTGTCGCAGCGAGTGCTGAGGCTCAAAGGTCACGCTGCAAACGTTCAGTGCTCTGCTGCGTGACAGTGATCAGCATTAGTGACGACATATTTGGCTTTAGAGTGTATGCAGCAGCAGCAGCGTTTCATATAGACTGAGCACTCTGAGGATTACAACGTCAGTGTTACTGCTGAGTGACACAGCAAACGTGAAACAGACTGTCCTACTTTCCATGAAACAGCTCATTCTGAGCTTCGCCCCTTCATTATTCACAACCGACTGTACTACGGTTACATCAGCACCGGTGCAGTCACTGGCCTTTAAGCTTTAAAAAATGCCTCCCCGTAATGTTTGCACACAGATACACGGTTACATAGATACATTACTCATGCTAAACATAGACTTTATCCACGGTGACTGTAAATACAGAAGCTTCCCCTGACAACCCGTCTCTGCTGCTTTCTGCCCCACATTTATGTGCAAGTCAGTAACTGTAGCACAGCTGCAGCTTCACATCCAGGAGGTCCGTTTGGGAAGGAGGGCGTTCCACAGTTAAAGCAGCTGTCAGAGGCCCCACTAGTGTTCATGGGCCAGTGAGTCCTGACCATTAAATCAAATTAGACAGTACGGAGACACCTCTAACCTCACGAGGACAGCATGAACTACAGGCGTTACCAAAATATAAGCAGGTAATGACGCATAACTGCCCTCCTTCCCTTAACCCTTTGTGTTTACTAAAGATGGACCAATGCTTTGGTTTGGCGTGTCACCTCATGGTTTAAGGCATATTAACTGAGTCATTTCTGTAACTGGGAGACACCTGCTGCTGCCTATCTTGGCCAGGTTTCCATTGAAAAAGAGGTTTTTAATCTCAGTGGGATCTTCCTGGTTAAATAAAGGTTAAATTAAAAATATATATATTATGCCTTGACATCTGTTTACTGTTTACAGGTAAAACCCTCATTGGAGCCACATGCAGGCTCCCGGCCCACCACGAGAGACCGGCTGGTGAATAATGTCCTTTCTCAAAAGTCTGCGTTATGTTCACACAACCACAAACTTGTGGATGAAGTATTTTTGACATGGGCGTATTCAAAGATGAAAAACAAATGATGTGACGCCGCCCACTCGGGTCTCAAACTGGCATCAGTCGGTACCGAGCGCCACTAAAGCATTGGTCTCGCACCTGTGATACAAACCCTGTTTGTGAATCTGTAGCTGTGACACAGCGTGAGGAGAAGCAGCAGCGTGGTATTGCACCATCACTCGTTCCTTCAACGGTTAGTGCAACTTCTGTTCCAGCACTGATGATTGCATTAGTCCACTGACCAAACAGTTATTAGTGTTTCTGTCGTGTGTGTTGGATTGCAGGGGGGCTGGTGAAACCACAGCAGTAGCACTGCTAAACAATAAGTCTTAGTGTGTGTTAGGCTTTTGTTAGGCTGCTGGTTAAAAACACGTTCACTTCCCTTGGCCCCCACTGACACTAACAGAACTGCTGTTGACTATGTCCTCATACTGTGGGGGCGGCTCCGTCTCTATTTGGACGTCCGTGTGGCCCACAGCCTCTTCGTAAGATGGCGGCGGGTCGCCGGCGCTTCCGCGCCCTGACGTAAACTCTGAGCCTGGATACGCTGGGCTGCTGTGGATGCTGAGTTCTGATTGGTCACCGTGGTATTCCCTCCCCCAGTGGTCCATAGAGACCACTGACAAGACATTGTTGTGATGCGAGAGTCCCATGCTGGGGCTGCGCTGTGAGCGTTTGCGGGAGTGGCAGCGCCACACAGTGATTGCGACGCCGGCGATGATGACCACGACCAGCAGCAGCGGCACAATCAGGTAGAGCGAGTGGATCCCGCCCACCTCCAGGCCTCCAGGCGGACTGCTTTCACGCACATATTCTTCCCAGAACTGCCTCTGCACACAGAACATCCACACTGTCAATAAAACAGCCCAAACGTGCACCCCCCCACTGCAAGCGCTTTTTATCCACATTACTGCAACGCAAAGGAAACCGACAACAGCACCCAAACAAACAAAAAGAGACCACGTGAGCGCACACATGACCTAGCTCCAGCCTCCACACAATGCTGCACTGGGCTGTTCTTCCTGCTGATCGCAATCACTTTCTGACAAACACCCTCGTTCCGCTCTCGGCACAGGATTTCACTGCTGGACACATGAACGCCACAAAATATCACTTGTAGTTAGAGCGGCTGGCGTGGGTGACTCTCCACCGGTGATGCTGACCTGTGGGATTTAGCTGCAGTGGAAGCCATGTTTTCATGTTTCAAGTTTCCCAAGTGCTTTTAAAAAGGTCGAGCAGTTTCAATTATCCAAACATCCTAGTTTTTTGGATGATTATGTTATTTTACTACCAGGGTCAAAATGATTAGCTCCCCAATGCTAACACGTGTCTTCTTCGGTGAATCTCCCAAGATCCTCCAGACTTGATCACCTTGGCCTAGATCTTCAGGCCCCCCCACAGACTGGCACTGGTGTCAGGGCTCCGTGCAGACCAGCTGTTCTTCACCGGGCATGTTTTGGGTTGTTGTCATGTTGGAAGACAAATAAGGACCCAGATTTGCTGCTGGTTGTCTGAGGTTTTCTTTCTAAAGCTTCCTATTTCCTTCTTTCTTCACGATTCCTTCCATCCTGAGACTCTCTGTTTAAAGTGGGCTGAAGCATTCCCACGGCATAATACTCCCACCCCCGTGTTTCACTGTGGAGCCAGCGCTCTTTGGTTGTACACCTCTCACTTCTCTCTCCAAACATAAGCATCGTCTCTGTGGTTTAACACTCTGCTTTCTACTGTGGAAACTCTGTATGCTTTCTCAACTGATAGCTCAGACCCTCGCTGAAGTTTTTATACTGAGTGAAAATAGGAAAATAACCTTCAGTTTTATCCTGATTCTAGAAGCTCTGAGCATTACCAAGTTAAATCACATCATTTCCCAGCAGTGCTTTGTGCGGTGGCACGATAAAAAGGTCTATTTTTCCAGAAGGGCGAATAATACTGACCCCGGTCAAACTAATCTGAAACAGTTCTGTTATTGTGCACAAACATGCTCTGTTGAAGAAGCACCCGGGAAAGAAGTTAAATTTCATAGGTGGGCTAATAATTTTGTCCTCATCTATAAGAATCAGGAAAACTTTAAGCTGTTTATTTCCAGCACTCCACAAATGTGCCCCAATGGGAAATGATTTCCTGTTAAAGAAAAACGACGCGTGGTTCATGTTGGAGTTTTGATGTGCACTGTGTGATGCGACACGCCTCCTCATCCTCTCACCGTCTTCTCTTCGTTCTCAAAAGCTTCCCGGGCCTCCTCATAGGTGCAGGTCTCCTCCCGACACTCCCTCTGGATGTTACCCTGCTTTATTTCCTCCAGAAAAAAGTTGGCCCTGCGCAGCCTCCGCAGGACCGAGTGGGCCGCTTCTGCTGGCAGGAACACTGAAACGAGTGGAGGAGGGAGGAAGCAAAGACAGGAGCGAGTAGGGGAAAGAAAAAAATGCATTAATCAACAAGCAGAGACAGGAAAGGAATGAAGATGACAGGAAAGTGAGGGCGAGTCAGCAAGCAGAACAGCATGGGGGAGGAATTTAGACGGCATTGAAAGGGCGGCAAAAAGGAAAGATGCTGGGAAAAGAATAATGAGGAAAATGGGGAGAGGAGCGAGGTGGGGACTGAAACAAAGGCAGCCGAGCCGAGCGCTGGTCAGTGCCCACATTTCTACATAAAGACAAAAGCTCCTTTGATTTAGGCATCCGTCCCTCTGCCAAATAAAAGAAACTGGAAGAACGGACTTGAAGAGACAAGGTGGCCCTCTGTTTCTCACACCCAGAATATAAACACAAACTCCCCCAAGGAAACAGCCAGATGCCACAACATGCCCAAATTAACAAGTAACGGCTGTCTGACTCATAACTTCGGGAATGGGATCAACAAAAGGCTTAAAAAAGGACAAAGAGCAAAATCCAAACAGGAATTTCCCCCCGGACAGAATGGGAATTGTTACTGTGTTAACAAGGGGGGGCACTGCAGTGGATTAGTAGCATGGACAATGTGGAAAATCAACACAATGGAACAGGAAAAACAAGCGAGAGTAGGAAAAAGAGGAATCCGTGTTTCCGTCTCTGCTTGTGGGTAAACTTACCACTCCCCATGATTCCCGCGGGTCTGTTTGGGGGGGTTATCTGCAGAAAAGCAAACAGGCATTAAGCTTCAGTTTGAACCTGCTGATGGAGTAAGATGACAGTTAACAAGAACTTCCACCTCAGCAGCTACACCCTTCCTTTGGTCCTACTTAAAGATGAGCAGCACGGTTTCCAAGCTCCTTCTCAAACACCACATCTCTGCTGTTCTCACACAGACCGACGTTTTCTAACAGGGACACGGTAAAGGGCGTCGTTACGCCATGACCACGAGACATCCGTGGCTGAAGTGACAGCGACCAATGGCGTCTGCCGTCCAGCGCTCCGCAC